GGACGAATGCGAGCATTTTGAAAACACGAGTAATAGAACGAACACTTTGAGGAAACAGTTTACGAAAAAAAACTAGTTAACTTCTTCAAAGATGCCAAATTTCGCACTCCATGTACTTCTATTTCAAACATATTCCAGCTGGTATGTCAGCTTGTGTGGTATATGAAAATTGGAAGAAGAGACAGCCTTCAAAAGCAATGCCAATTCAAAGTTTGGGACGTTTTGAGAGAATGATGGAATCTATGGAAGGATCTATGATGCGGTCTAAAACCAATAACTGATTTGATTAGCTTCGTTACGTGAGGCAATATGTAGAACCTTTATATATTCTACTTATTGAATTCCTCAAGTATTTGACTCATCATTTCCAAATAATTTTATTTTGAATATGAACAAAAAATGAGGGACAAGTTTTCAATGGCTTGTACTTTCCATGAATAAAGTTCTTATTCGTCCTGCTGATATAAGTTGCATATATGACGATATGCCCTGATAAAGAACCATTCGGATATACTTTCCGCTTTCACTGCATTTTGTTCGAAGAGAAGAGGAAAATCTTCAGTTTTTTTTCCACGTTTATGCAATCCATCACAGTATTCTGCGAGCTTCTTGTTTTCTTTTGCAATATAAAATGTTGCCTTTTGACTGTGGAATTATTTGTGAAGGATCGGAACGTCTCCGCGTTTTCTAAAATATTTCATAAAGAATTTTGCGAGATACAGTTTCCCTTTTACTGCTTTTTATTGAAGAAGGAAAAGAAAAAGTGAATCTTCAGTTAACATTCAATTTTTGCAATATTTTTATTAATAATATTGATATTGAATGATGAGTAATATTTAACCGAGGAATAGCAGATTTGATTGAACTCTAAGAAAAACTAGTCGAGATAAAGATAAATGGATTTTTCAGCATTCTCGACAGCTACTGAAGTGGGAGTCTATTTTCAGAATGAGTCTTCCCAGGAAAACACCCACTCCAACACCACCTGTAAAGGGTTCCTTCCCTCTGGATCATGAAGGACAATGCAGATATGAGATGCTAAAATATATGCTTTGCTTGAATGAACATGAGGTGGGCAGTAGCTGTGTGCCATTTTCTGATTTCTTACTTTGATATTTTCTAATCCTTGGAAGACACCAGAGAAAATTTTCCAGTTCCTGTTTTGATGTTGCTTTTCAGCAAAAGATTGGTGAATGTCGAGACTCTGCAAAAGTTTATCTGAAATGTCGGATAGACAATGGATTAATGCAACAAGAGGAATGGAAGTATCTCGGTTTTTCGGGTGAGAAGGGAACGTAATCGTGAAAAATTTCATCTTATAAAAATTGCATTTTATAATGTAGTTTTCGAACATCAGTCGGTTTGTTTCATTTACAAGCTGATCATATGTATTCCTCTGATATAATTGCTTGCCCTGTAAAAACATCCTAAAAATTTTTATGCTAAATTTACTACGAAATTTTGATTGGAAATTTGTAACACATGCTAAAACATAACGAGAAAACCGTTGAAGCAACGTTGAGACAAACAAGTACTTTGTGTTTCTTTGGATTTCTGTTGAGGTGGAGCAAATAAAATTAGGGATAACTTCCTGCAGCTCTTAGTACTTATCGCTGCAAATATAGGTCATGGATTGAATGAGTGCCTCTAAAATTGACTTTTGCAAAATAAGTGAAGTTTTTACTTGGGAACTCACTCAGGACTATCTTGAAGAAGTTAAAGAATTTTTTCTTTCCTTACAGCATTGTTTACAAAAATGAGGCTAAAATGCTCTGTAGGTGAGGATAAATGTTCATAGCGGGTAGACTTGTAATTACTTCGAAGTATTTATGATCTGTGAGTTCAATTGCATTTGAGGCAAGATAATAAATGTAGATGAGCAAGGAGAACTGATAATCAGCCGTGGACCATTAGATTTCCCGAGAATTGTGACGTTAGAATACTTCTGACAAGCATTTCGGACTACTAATAGGAATTTCTCTAAAATAGTTCCAATAATTCTACGAATAAGCTTCAGCCAGTGTACACTTTGCAACTAATGAGCCAGTTAATTTATTGCTCCAAAGTAATCCTTATAATGAAGTGCGCATGCCACACTTGACGCACCTGATTTTCGATCAAATAATTGGTTTATTAGTTGTGAAGTGACAATGGTTAAAGTTATACATACGTCCAATTTCTTCTCTTTTTGGCTCATAAAACTGCTGCATTATGTTATAAAAGCATAAATTCAGACTAAAATATTTACTACCACCGAAACGTTAACAATTGAAATATTTCACAGAGTATAAAACTAAAACAAAATCATAGTATCAGGGAAAATATTAGAAGTGTTAAATGTAAGAGAAGAGAAAGCATGAAAAGAATATTGCTGGGCATATTTCTTATCTTTTTAGCAACACCTGACATCAACCTAGAAGCATTTGTCATCTTCCTGCACTGAATTGCAATAGTTGCTGTCCGTTAGGTTGCGTAAACTCCCAGCAAAACTCAAATTCTACGAATATTCCCTCAAGTGCTTATCATATTTTTTACTCCGTTTTTTTCGTGTTCATCCATAATGATGATTGAATGTATGTATGAATTAAACAAGATTATGATGTAAAGTACGAAACTTTTGCAGTCGTACTTGAGCACTTCATCAAATTCTTCTTCTAAAACAAGTAACATTCTAACACAATAGCTTAGTTCCATCCATAGATTGATCCAAATGAAAGTAGCATAGTAATAAAGTCATATGTACCACAAAGAATACGTCTCTTAAAAATGAAAAATATGTATGAGGAGCTAATGAGATATGTTATGAAGTTTTACAGAATGACTTTGAATTTCATTGTTACTGGTTCTGAAGAAGCACCAGGCTTTTGAATCTTAACAAGACGATTGGTTTTCATGATCTTCCTCCCCTCTTACCCTATATGGTCTTGATCTCTTCGTTCTATGGTTCTTTGAGGAAGTTCGTCTTGTTTTCTTACTGCATTATAATTTCCTCACGTCTTGGCAGGCTTTTTTCAAATCATTTAATTGGATATTTGAGTTTCTCTTTATACTATAAGAAATATCATTTCCTTTTGGTGCAATTATACATGCAGCGAACAGAGCTGATATTCTGGCATTGCTATCGACACGTTGAAACTGAGTTTTACTATACAGTCTAGATGTTGTTAACAGTTTTACCATAACTGTTGAAATACTGAACAGATTGAAATAAGTGACTACCGATCACTTTGAATGGTTATTATTGAGAAGATACTGAATGCTAGATGAATACATAACATTCTTGGCCAAAGAGATGAAATGGAATTTCGAAATAAGCCTCAAGAGTAGCAACTTTAATATCTGCATAGTTTCTTTTGAACTTCACATGCTTTATAAACACTGAATGTTTCTCGTAGCAATAACTGTAAAAATCACAAATGAACATTTGAATTCATCTATATCCAACTTACTGTCACTTATAGAAATAAGGAATAGCAGAGCATGACACTCTATCCCGACAAAGAGTGAATTAACACTTGAAATTATCTTAAGAACAACAAAGGAGATGGCGCCACAATTAGTGACGAAAAAGTTTCGGAATCTACGAAGTCTATGAAGTGTACAGGTAAGCATAGTCTAGAGATAGCAGTTTCTGATTCAATCTTCCATGTACAGGTTGTACAGGTTGTGGTTTTTTTTTCAGCGTTCATCTCCATAATTTTCCTTTCTTACAAATGACCGGTCGAAACCTTTTATCTCACAGGGTCCTCTTTCTCCATTTATAATCACAAAAAAATAGAAAGTTAAAAAAATAGGAAGTAAATAGAAAGTTAACGACAAAAATAAATAATTCTAGCAAGAGATTGAATTTTGCAGCTGCTGAAAAGAATTAAAAAACACTCCCTTATCATATATCTTGTCGAAAGTAAAGCTTTTTTTAAAGTTTTAGTTTTTTAACTGAGATCGAGAACCTACATTCTCAATGAAGAAAGAAAAGAAATATCCTTGAATTACAACTGATACTTTCAGTGCAGTATAGACTAGATTAAACTATACAACTATATGGATAATTTATGGAACTGAACCCCAGTAAAAGTAACGCAGAGGATAATTGGCCTTACGACATATCTAAGACAGTATACTTCCTCAATTATAATTTCAGCTGTTCCACATTTGTCATCATTTCTAAGAAAAGGGGAGAGGGGTAGAGTTCGATTATTTAGTAGCTTGTTACTGGTCCATGAGATATTGTGTAGCCATGCTGTATATCGGCTATATTCCTTATCACAATCTATTTATAAGTTGGCGCTGTTTCTTTTGTTCCATAATATTTAAATTACTTAAAGGCAAGAACAAATGCTGCATGTAATTCAAAGTTATTAGTCTGAGATGGAAAAAAGTCTGCAAAGTTTCTCATGATTAAATCGGTCAATCTTTGTGCAGAATTATTATACAATTTTGCACGAAGATTTTAATGACTATCATTTTTGTGACTGTTGAAAATTTTTAATTCTAGATTTTTTACAATGGACATAAATGAATTCCGTCAATACGGCAGACAAATGATTGATCTAGTCGCGAATTATTGGGAATCGCTCCGAAAAAGAGCTCCGTTACCGGATGTGAAGCCTGGGTTCATAAACAAACTGGTACATAGAAATGGCAAACCATGAAGTTCTACAAATCCGTTGTTATAAAGAGAAAGAATGCTTCACGGAGTTTATTCTAGACATCTTATTATTTCCTTTAAATATAATGTGTTTCAATTTTTGTGAAATTCCTTTCAAATTAATTCAACTAAGGTTTAATTCGAGGTACCGCAAGATGCTCCTGTCATGGGTGAGCCGTGGGAGAAAATTTTTAATGATATCAATGAAGTAGTTTTTAATTGCAATACCCACTGGCAGCATCCTAATTTTTTCGCCTACTTCCCAACTGGTGTTTCGTATCAGTCTATCATTGGTGATATCCTCAGCGGCGGAATTGCAAGCGTGGGTTTTACCTGGGTAAGTTAAAACTTCTAAAATAAATTCCAGTATAAGGCTCTTGCACTGCCGTAACCAATATTGAAAATGAAATAGCACAATAATGCTTCGTAATTTCTGTTGTAGAAGTAATCATTGGTTGATGACACATTAATATAGTAAAATTTATAGCAATCGTCGCCTTCCATGACAGAACTTGAAATTTCTATGACAAATTGGTTAGCCAAGGTATTGAAACTGCCGGCAGAATTCTTGAATACCGAGAGTGGATTTGGTGTAGGGATCATTCAAAGTACTGCCAGTGAAGCAACTTACATGGCAATATTGGCAGCCAGAGGACGAACTGTAGAGGTATTATTAAGTGTTTGCTGAAGAATAATTAGCTTCTATTCATGACCAAAACAAATATTCCGCAAAGATGCGACTAAACTGTAATTTTTTTTTCTTTAAAATCTAAAATCCCGATTACAACGTCAAATATACTTTTGCAGCGAATTAGAACAATCGAAGGAGTCATCAACCAGGAAGTACAAGTTGTTTCAGATGGTTCCGGTGAATTATATCACTATCCATATCACGATGCGGTCAATATAACTAAGCTAGTTGCTTACTGCTCAGACCAGGTGACCCTACAAAGTGGGCATAAAAAGAATGATAAGTAGGAGAAAGTTTCACTACCATAATAAGTGAAAAGACTGTGAAGGGCGGGAGAAGGAAAGGGAAGGAACGGAAAAGGTTGGAATGGAAAAAACGAAGACAGATGAAACGAAAGGAAAAAAGAAAGGATGTTCAGTAGGATTTTCAAATGTGTAATATTCATTTACTGGATAAGTCTCATTTAAGGCTCACTCATCGGTCGAAAAAGGTGTTATGTTGGCAGCTGTGCGTTTACGAAAACTAAAGACTGTACGTGGTGGACCATTTGATAATTTTTATGTCACTGCAAAGGTCCTTGAAGAAGCGATTATGGTAAATTTGATGGATGGATGCAATTGTGGATTTATTAAGAAACCTTTAATTACTAATCTACTTGTATTCTGACTTGCAACAACATTTTTGACTTGTAAAGATGAAGGAATAAACTGCAAAGATGGTTTCAGACAGATCGAAAAAATGATTTGATACCATTTATATTTATTATGACCTTGGGTACAACGTCCAGTTGCGGAGTGGATCCGGTGGATGAGCTTGGACCAATATGTCAGAGAGAAAACATCTGGATACATATTGATTCTGCATATGCTGGCAATTCATTTAAATTAGTTCTAAAAAAAACAAAAGAAAAAAGAAAAACTGAAGTGTAAATTAAGGAAAAGAATGAGTGCAAGAAAAATAGTGTCGAATAATTATATTTTTGGTTTTTGGTACCATTATTGATTCTCTTGTTGCAGTACAATATTTAACATCAATCACAACAGAAAGCATCGAGACAGATATATATTTTGCAGGTGCATTTTTACTTTGTCCTGAATATCGCTATTTGTCTCGTGGATTCGAATATGTTGATTCTTTCAATATGAATGCTCACAAAGCAATGCCGATAAATTTTGATTGCTCTCCACTGTGGTATTTATCCTTACAGTTACTATCCTGATAATCATCAAAAATTTTGAAGCAAGCATGTAATAATTAAGATTTCTCTCTTTTTTTTTGGGTAAGAACCGTAAAAATACATCTGTAATATGTTTTAAATGACCGAAAAATTGTTTAAGGTTTATAAGAAGTACGAATTTCAGGTTCAGAAATGGAAGACAAATAATGAAGTACTTTGCAATAAATGCGGTCTATTTGAAACATGATCAGACCTGTGCAGTTGATTATCGAGTAATTTCTTTTCTTATTCTTAGAGTTACGGTAACGAAAGATTCCGAAAGAGTACTGTTTTAGATTTCCCTTTTTGCTTGCAATTTGAAACAACGAAAGGAATAAGAGTAGTCCATAATTATCACTTTTATTGGCATCTCTTGGCCAAAGTACAATTCGACAATGATGGAAAGTATTCAGTGATAGGAAAGAAATGAAGCGCGAACCTCAACTGCTTATTTATTTATCTACTATCAAATTTATCAAAATCTCTCAGATTTTGTGCTCTATTGCCGTTGTCATTAATATTGTCATGGAACAGAGTCAAATTTTCATATCCATTATACCTTCTGACTGATATTATTGAGTAGAAAAATTTGATTTAAGGCTCAATCTTATAATCTCTCTTATTGCATCTAGAACAAGTTTCATGTTTTTGCTGGGAAGAAAAACAGATCAAGTTCAGAGGTACTCCTCAGGATAAGATACATGAATATACCAGGCTGAAGATCGACTTTTAGCATTTCCAAATAGCTCTCGGAAGAAGATTTCGATCGCTAAAAGTTTGGTTTGTGCTGCGAAATTTTGGCATCACTGGCTTGCAGAAGCACTTGAGAAAGGTCCCATTCGAAAATCTTTTCTTAATTCTTACAGGAACCATCTGCACCGTCTACACGGAATTCATCTCTTTTAAACTTTAATTTTCCCTCATACTTTGATAGCTTTGTAACATCCACCCAAATAACAGATGGTTGAACTAGCGAAGCACTTCGAAGCGCTCATACAAAAGGATAGCTTGTTTGAGCTTTTCGTACCGCGAAATTTTGGATTGGTATGCTTCCGTCTAAAGGTTCGCTACATTTTTTTAGAACTTTTCAGAATTTGTGTTGATTTTCTAAAGTTTCAGAACTTTAGTTGACTTCCTTTTCAACTTTAGTTAAAACAATACATTCTGCGAGAACACTGCTGCAATTAATAAGAGGCCTTGATGTAATCGTAATATATGCAAGATGTGCACCTATCGCCGCTTTCCATTGACAGGACTCGACAAATGAAATGAATGAAGAGCTAAATCGAAGAATCAACGAGGATCGCCGTATCCATATGGTTGCTTCCGTTATTCATGGAGTTTATTTTCTACGCTTAGCAGTGTGTAGTACGTTTACTACATGTGAGGATATAAGACAAGCGCATGCGATAATTCATAATTTTGCTGAAGATGTAGGAAAAGATATGAAACAATAAATATTTCGATATGAAACAAGAGGAAGTGATATGGAACAATAAATATTTATGAATGGTCCAAGTACAAAAAGTGTGGAAATACTATGTGAACTTCTCGCGTTACTTTACTATTCACTTATGGAGATTGCATGAAACACAATAAACCCTAGCTATTTCGGTGGGAGAGTAAATCTACTATTAATTCCTTTTACATACAGTGCTACCAACAGAATACCTAGACCGCACAAACTTTGGGTCTGGCCTATTCTCTTATTTCCATCACTAGGCTGCACCACAAAAATCAACATCTCAACGCCGAAAAAACTGAAACCGCTTCAACAGAATTCAAAAGAACTAGAAATCCCCAGAACTTTTTTTTAGCACCATCCGATGTGAATATCATATCATTCATTACTCTCCAAATTCTCAGAGCTGATGTAATCAAATTGTTAAAGAGTCTGCAAATAACGTTACCTTTATCAGAACAAAAAAAATCATTCTTCACAAAAACCAATCAAATCATCTTCTTTAACAAGGCATTTATCTGATCTTCACGATTACCGAAGTCACCACCCTCAACGAAATGATTTGTTTTTTTCGTCCAACCACCTGACGGGTTATTCAGTTTGAAAGGCCATAAGAAGTTCGTAGCACGCTTGAAATAGGGACCCACATTGAAGATTTGATGCACAAGATCTTCCATACAAATTATGTCACATTTCCCTGAAACTTACTGATAAAGAATAAGCATGTGAACACATAGTTTCAAACATTCAGATATATTCTCCGCTTCTCAAACATCGTCGAATCCAAAAGGATGAACAGGTAATAACAGAAGCTTTTTCCCATGCTCTTCGAAATATCTATAGCCTGCTTAAAAATAATTCGAAACATTCACTTAGCAGAATGTTGGAATGAAATTTGAAAACGCATACTATGAAAACCTACCAAGCGCACTTTCAACAATAGAATTGTTCGTGATTGGTATGCGTCGGCCATTAATCTTCGCGTAACCACGCTTGTAGATTAGATCATGGACCGTTTTCATGCTCGGATATCCCCACGCAACGTATGGCTCCACAATACGCAACATTTGGAGTGTAGCTTTGTTTAATTTAACAAAAACGCCATTGTTTATTTGTCGTAAACGAAAGAGTTGCAGAACCTTGCGCGGCCGTGGGTGCATTTGGTTGATACCACGGATTCGGATCACGAAAGCAAGACGTGCTTCATCAGGGACATAGAAATTGCCCACTTTTCTGGCTTCACGCTTTAACTGAATTTCTTGTCGTACACGTTGTCTATGTTCCTTCACGTATTTTTCAGCGCGCTTGAAAATCGCAAGCCTCTTTTTTCTCGCCTTCTAAAAAAAGTGTGTTGTTCAGATGTTGCAACATGCATAGCAGTACGCATTGACGGCAAAGTCTTCAAGCAATTTTTACAGAACTAGAGAGAATTTATCCATATAGAACGTTAGGTACATGAATAAAGATCAAACAAAGCCAATTTCAACGAAGTGAATACAAACATACAAACCAAAGCAAGCTTGGCCTTTCTGACATTAGCTTTAGCTCTCTGCTCTGCACGTCGTTTCCTTCGTTTTAACACCGTCTCCGGCACTGTGGGGAGCTCTTTTTCCCTGAAACTTCCAAGTTAAAATATGATCAGTACAAATTAACAAGCAGTAAAATATGATGTTTTGTAAGCAGTGTTGCAAAGTATCCCAATCAAAATAGTGCAGTAGTGACTAACGGCCGAGACAAATACGACGCAAATTACGGACTATAAAATGACTATCCAGAAAAAAACACACTAGAAACTATTTCACTTCACAGTCAATGTTCAATTAGTGTGAAGTCCTTAGGTATAACAACACCAAGCTCCATTATCAAAGTTCATCATTCTTCTAACTTGGTCGTGAGACCATGGAAAACAAGTTCCAGTAGACAGTGCTGTTTGTTTTCCTAGATCAGGATATTCATTACCATAAAAAGGGCAATATTTCATCTCCCTATCAACTGACTCCTTATCCAATTAAATGTTGAGAGAAGAAAAATACTAACCCTGTCGTTGCCAAAGTCCTTTTCATATTATCCTGAAATCAATTAAAATCAACATAAGAGAACAATACAACCCTATCTCTCCAACGAGTTCACCCAAAATGCTATCCGAAATACATCTCGCGACAGATCGAATGCCACCTCCTAAATTATTCCCCAAAAATCAAAAAGCGCCAACCGTAAAGTGCTACAATGCAACGAATATGAAAATCGTGATTTCCTGTTGGAGACTTGCATATTATTGTACCTGCTAATTGAGGAAAGGAAAGAAGCTGGAATAGCCCATGGAAGAGATTAAACAAATCAATTTTTGCTTTCCAACAGTTAAAAAGATGTACTGTGAAGTTAAGGCGTTGACAGGGATCCTTTTATCCTTTGTAGAGAAATCCTTTAAGTCTAGAAATTCTCCTAATACATCACCCATTTTATGACTTTACTATAAACCATCAACAGGCATATATTCATCCCATCTCCAAATTAAATACCTCATCTGTAATTATAGGATCTTTCACTCACTCCATATAATCATTCGATGAAAAGGCTCAATCTAATGTTGTCACATGTTTGAAATCAATTCGAGCATAAGGCCCAGTCCCTTCCACGGAAGATATATCTAATTTTCGACCGGGAAAGGGCTACTCATTCTCCTTCTCGCCTCATTCCGAAGAGAATTTCAACCGTTTTGAAAGTGCGCTCGTGAGAATGTCTACAGCAGTTTCGCCTGATTATCTGTCCGATCGATGACATCTCGAGCAGCGAAGAGTGTTGTAATATTGGATCGGGTCGGTTCGGGTCGGGTTCCATCGGGAACATCGGTGCACGGCGAAACGATAATGATGTGGAGCAATGATAATGGCATCCTGCACTGCTTCTCCTCTACACATTTGTATTTGGTGGAATAGATCCCGTGGCAAGGAGGAGCGGCGTTTTTTGGATTATTCTCTCGTTACTGATCCTGTCTTTGTTTGCTTAGCAAGTATGGTTAATGCAGCGTTTATGGTAGTACAAAATAGTAATGGGTCTATTGATTATCCTTTATCTGATTGCTTAGCAATCGAAATCACCTCACTTGTTCAACCAAGCGTAGTGTGAACTATTTAACAGGTACTGCTTTTGACAGGTAACAGTGTTGTCCATACTGTCTGGAAATGTCTCTTCAGGATGTCCTCATTTATCCAACACAAGCATATTTTCTTAAGTTATTTTGTAAACCAACTGTCAAGTATCAGAATTTTAGATAAATTTCAGTGTATTTGTTAACTTTTCTTACAGTAGAGTAAGCATTCAGGAAGAGTTTTGTTCAGTGGTACTTGCGTGTAGTAAAGACATGCATTAAAAAATTAAAAAAAAATTTTTTTGCATTCCATTTTCTCCTCTATCATGATGGAATTTGATGAACGATTATCCTTGTGTTTTCCGGTTGTATTGAGCTTTTTTATATGGCTAAAGATCTCGGATGGTTCCTTGTTTGAGGGCATTCAGCAAGTGAAGGAATTAAAAGTCTGCCTTGACATTGCAAGGATAAGTTATGATTTACTAAAGACAAAAGTATCGTACATTCGGAAATTGCACGATTCATTATTCTTTCATGTTCTAGGGCTTTGTTGGGAATAACTGTATCTGTATCTATTGTGCAGTGAAATTCACCAAATTTTGTAAGTTCGGTAGAAAATTATGTAATGCAAAGTGTTCTTTGATTTCAGGAAGTATCACGAGTTTGCTTATCATTTACCAATTGCAATGGTGCAGTCGTTAGGTAAGCACGGACTGCCCATTCTTCAAATCTCTTTTGAGCTTTTGTTTAAGCATGGCGTGTTTAAAATGCAAGTAGGAGCATAAATTCCATTGTACCATGGAACTAAGCATTTAAAACAGCAAAAGAAGATTGCAGTGGGAAATTTGTTCTAACTCGATGTATTGATGTGTTTGTGTGTAGTAGCAGTAGTGTAATGGTAGTACTTATATTAATATTGTAAACAGTAGGTTGGTCAGATGCATCATCGTCATTGAAATCTGTCTTTTCATCAGTTATAATGAAATACAACTTTACGCCAGCTGGACTAGTATATTACTCTATTCTAAGTAATTTGTGGCAGAAAAGCAGATGAAAGGCATATCTGTCTATGCGCACAGTTCGTCGCCGCATCATGTTCTAGAGAGTTTGAAGAGAGGAATGGGAATATCTCCAGCGGCTGGTCAGATCACTGATTGTATGATTTCATTCATTGATTTTTGTAAACTTTTTCCATTTCAAGGAATAATCCTAACTTTAGCTTGAGCGGGAGGTAATGTTTTGGGTGAGTTATGTGGACTGTATTGAGGTCTTGGAAAAGAAGTATTCTTTCTTAATAATCAGTGACTGAAAAGATAAAAGATGAAAGAATTATATTACCGATAATGGCTGACAATGATCATGTAAACTGCAGTGCATATTACGAATAAATTTTAATTGTTATTTTTCTTTTTTTTTTTTTTTGACTGCCGAATTTTCATCGTTTGCGTCATGTAAATGTTTTTTTTATTAAAACTTATTTACGCGTTCCTTATATTTCCAGGATATTGATAGAAGTATGGGTTCGCGCGATGATGAATACGACTATTTATTCAAAGGTTTATATTTTCTCGTAACTTTTTCACTTCTATCTGAATTTGACCAAGTAAACAAACACTGTCAAAATATAAATTTTGAATAGGTTTGACGTGTAGCGTCCTTGACTTACAACATTTTTCATTTTTCTGGAAGAATATTTGCAGGGACTGTTGTGCTTCTTTTGAGGGACGTGAACCAATTAAAAGATGATAGTGCTAAAGTTATTGTAGGAGAGTTTGTGTTCGAAATTCCTATTCATGAGAGAATAGTCTCAGTTCAAATTACTACTCAAGTTATATAGCATGTCATTGAAAAAAAAAATTTCTCGTGTTTACCATTGATTTCTGTTGTAGTTGTGTTGATTGGCGATTCCGGCGTTGGCAAATCTAATCTGTTATCACGGTTCACTCGAAATGAATTTAATTTGGAGTCGAAGTCAACAATAGGTGTCGAATTTGCGACGAGGAGTATACAGGTTTGTGCGCATTGAAATTTGATTCTTGTTCCTAGTAAAAAAAACAGTGGTATTGTTTCGCTTCTCCAATTTGTTTTTTGGTTTTACACTCTAAATTAGGTATGGCTTGTTCCAGATGTTTTTTCATCTGTTTTTTCCTACTGTCCCGTGGACAACAAAGGCTAACATGTTGACGGCGATTTTCTTTAACATTGATTAATTTGTTAAACGTCATTCAACATTTATCGTTTGCGTATCTTTTTGTGGGATAGCTCCGCAAATTTAGATAGCTGTGAATTTTGACAGCCTGTCGCCAATCTTATTAGGCATTATAAAGATTAAGACATCTTCTTAATAACCAATAATAATATCACCATTCACTTAAAAGTGACGAATAAATTTGTGAAATTCGGTTGTTTCTATGAAAGCTTAATTTATGTCAGTAAAGAGCTACAATGTTTCATTGTGAAGCAGAACTGGGAATAATTGGTTGTGCATGATAATTTATATAATCCTGGAAGAGATAAAAAAAACAGTAGCACGGGATTATTTATGATTACTATATATTATGAGAGGATTAATGAGACAAAGATTAAGGTTTGATGTCTAGAGAATAAAGGATTTCCTAATTTCGTTGGTCGTATTATATTGATTATCGAGTTTCTTTGTACAGATCCTAAGGTTCGGCATTAATTTAGTCATGTAACTCAACTTATGTATTCTTTGTTTTCTTTTTTTTTTTTTTTTTTTTTGTATATACCAAATTACAGGTCGAAGGGAAAACAGTGAAAGCTCAAATATGGGATACAGCAGGACAAGAAAGATATCGAGCAATAACGTCGGCATATTACAGAGGTGCCGTTGGTGCGCTTTTGGTGTACGATATTGCTAAACATGTTACATATGAAAATGTTGAAAGATGGCTTAAGGTTTGTTTCTTCTTTGGGTAGCGTATTATAAGTCTTCTTATATATTTAGTATCTTATGAAGTATATTGCGAAAGAGGTCTGTATTGTAGTCTTCATTACTTTCTAATAAAGGCGAAATACTTGTACTTTTTGGAACTTTGCTCCCACTCACAAACGATTTGGCGAATAATGAGCACCACTTCTCATTGCCAGATATTGCTATTTAGAGTTAGGTCACCATATTAAGCTTGGTTGGGGTATATGATTTTTTTCAGGAATTACGTGACCACGCAGACCAAAATATAGTAATAATGTTGGTTGGAAATAAAAGTGATTTGCGTCACTTGCGTGCAGTACCTACAGATGAGGCGAAAGCATATGCAGAAAAAAATCAATTGTCATTCATTGAAACTTCCGCACTCGATAGCACTAATGTGGAGGCTGCTTTTACTAACATTTTGACCGAGGTAATTGACTAGTACTTGTGAGTGGAATTTGATGAAGAGTACGATGGCAAAAAATTCTTAGTGTAACCGCAGAATTATCAGATTGCTTAAATAATGTGAGGATTTATTTTTGTGTGTTCCATCTTATATATACTTAGTCTGTTCCATAAAAACTATGCATACTATTTACAGATATACAAATCAGTATCTGTGAAGCACGTTGGTGGTGATAATCGGGCTGCAATATCTACACCAGGCTCGAATGGTATTGTAATCTCGCCAACAGCCGAACCCCAAACTAAAAAGCAGTGCTGTTCCAGTCTATGATCTTTGCAATCCCTTCCTCCCCGCCACCAAAAAAGTAGCAACAGTGATTTACGGGCTTGGTGGTCATCATAGTATTTCCTTTCCATCTTTCTCGTTTGTTCGCTGCTTTCGTTTTTACCTGGAACAGGACAGATTCACTTCTTATTTGTTCTTTTTCTTTTTTGTTACCCGTCCATTATAATTGTAATCTTCAAAATGCTTTACAGAGAGATCTTTCGTACTGTCGTAGCACACCTGTAGGTTTGCTTTGTCGCGGTTTGCACCTTTTTTCCCGATTTTGTTTTGAACATTCTAGATAAAACAAAAATATTGGGATAGAGTAAACAGAAATCCTGGAAAAGGTCAATTAACATTTTCTTGATTGTAATAACATAATTATTAAATCATCCTAAACAGATTTTCCTGAGAAACAGTCTTCCTTAGGAATTTCCTGAGAAATAATTAGGACCGTCTTACTTTATACTGAAGTGGGTCAGGCAGTCGGGCATTGCTGAAGATGTTTCAGAATCTACTTGCCTTAATCTTTTGTCCGTTTCATTTTTTTTACCAGATGACGTTTTTGATGAAAATGTGATTTAATATAATTGCTGTTTTTTTTCCTCAAATATTTCCTTATAAACTCTATCTTTTCATGTTCTTTACATTGTCACTGATTTTCCAAACCAGGCATGCAAAGAAACAAAGTTACTACTTTTCTCACTTCTGTGAAAGAAATGGACGGACGAAAATACAGAATGAATTTTACTCCATTTTATGATGACATGGTCACAGAGTAAAGTGATCGCTCCCTTTTCCGCTTAGATTAATACATAAAATTCATCTTCATTTCTAGTATTACCATTAGCGAAGTGTTCAAAACATGTGTATATGTTGATTTTTCAAGCCTTATTTTTAAATCAATAAAATCTACGATTAAGAAAGAGTAACATTTCTTACTCTTCCTTCGCTACCTGCTACATTTATATCACCGCACCATAGAATATCAAAATCATCCGTAGAATATATCACCGCAGCTTGTGAATTTTCGTGCTCCTTGTAAGTAAATCGTCCATTATTCCTCGTTCAGTTGCCCATAATGGGTTATTACTTTTTTATTCATAAAATTACTGCTATTTGTAGAGTGTGAAGTTGCATTTTTTTAGTAGCAGAATGTGTTTTTGTGACCAAATAGAATGAATTCCCTCACATCTAGTACTAGGTAAGATAATCTGTGTCTCAGAAGTTGGGAAAGTATGTAAATTATTGGTTCGTACAGGAAAATTGAGCATTTCGAGTAAGATTAACGAGAGTGATATATTGTGTTTCTGTTTGGCTTGAGGATGTGATGTCATGCCATCTATTGGTTTTTTTTAAAATCCAATTTCGATTTTAAGATTATGTGAATTAATTGCACCAGCTCTCATAGATTTCCCACTTAAGAGTTTGAGAATAAGGAATCGTCGTGGTCCGTTGTGGTCTAGTGGTTAGGATTTGCGGCTCTCACCCGCAAGGCCCGGGTTCGATTCCCGGCAACGGAATCGCGGCTTTTGTAACTACCAACCACCTTTAGAGATTCGCTGAAGGCACTGAGTAAATATTTATACTGTCAATGGTATTTGCTGAATAACAGAACGAATCTCTTCCCTTTCTTCGAAGTCGAACATTCGAAGTTTAGTCATTCATTTTCGTTAAGATGAAGTTGTCGAGATTTTCAGGGCATCTCTAGCTGTATTTAAAAAGGAAAATGCAAATATTTGTGGATGTTGTCGTAAAAACCGAAATAATTGTATTATGAAATTATTCATTCAAATAGTTTCCATTTACATTTGTTTTTTCTCTCTCATGCCTAAGGTCATGAGTCAGCTATAAAATCTTTAAATCGCCTAAATGAGCTTTATTTGAAATTGAGGTTTGCACATATCTAGATGACAACTAATTTTATGCACATTGATGGGCATACTGTAGAGATATCTGATCTTATAAACATGTTTATATCCAACATATTTATCCCTAGATTTCTGTTAATTATTGTATTTCTTTCCTTTCTCCAAACAAAGTATATTGTGATTGAAGCCACTTAATATAAATTAATCTAGATATGGAGATTTCTTTGGTAGCTGTGAGTATACGTTAATTTGTTATCATTGTTTCTCCTTACACACTCCTTATATAAACGTTAGAAATCCTAACAGTCTTTACTTTTGTCCCATCTGTCGACACCCAAGTTCACGCAAACACTCTCCAATCTATTAATCCTTACAAAATTTCATCATTCTACTGGCCTTACCCTGGAAGTCATTCTATTGTAATTGGAATTATTTGAACCTGTCTTTATTGTATTTGGTATCCAGACGATAATAAAGGATAATCTGTTGTAAGTTGCGAGCACAAAACGAACTGATACACTGTAAGTCACTCCTTTAAAATTATAACAGCTTCTACAACGATAACAATCTACCTCACCTTCTTAACTCCCTTTCTTTTATTTTTTCACGACAGATGTGGTTGGTTCCAAGTTCCAACTTTCCAAGATCTTTTTTGAAATTTGTTTGAAGATATTGATCCTTTACGAAATGCGCTTTGCTTGATCTATTTGGTAGTAAAGTGTTAATGATTAGAGGGACGATCCTATAAGTACTATGATACTTATCGTTGATGAGAAAGCATTTTTCGTAATTGAAAATTTATATCATTGCTTTAAAATGACACCTTTTTTAATATACAACACGGCACATATGAGCATATTAGCAAGTAAATTTAGTGGGATAGAAATGATGATGATGATGATAATGATGTAGGAAAATAAGTAAAATAAAATTTTTCTGTTTGGCGGGTTTAATTTGGAAGGGCTGATCCTTAAGCGCAGACGAATATTCTGAGGAAGTATTCTTCGTTCGGTTCAGGAGGAAATTATTTATTCGCAGAAGATAGAAGGCAGAGTTAGTAATAAAAATATTTATTGGGGAGAATCGAGGATATAGTGTAGGTACAGTCTTTGGTTGAGTGTTTGAAAAACAATGTCATTCTAGTAGTAGTAGAGTATATATACAATTTTGATTAATACAAAGAACATATTTGGTGGAAATGGTTTATAACAAACATTACAACAGATAATTTTTAATAATGGCAACTTCTTCCCTTTTTTTTGCTTCGTCATTCTTATGTGGCAGTTAAGATCGAACCCGCAATTCGAATTAAATTTGAGATCTTGAGTGAATTATTCGAACTAACTTTAACAAGTATAAACTAATCGATCATTTAAGTTAGGTGTTCGTGGCAGTAGTTCCCGCATGATGTCATGTGTTAAGGAGTACGGTTGCTCTGTTGTATTCTCTATACACTGACCATAACTATAAGTTATAGAATTGTATTTATGTGTGGGATAAGAAACAACGTGTTGGTTTAAATTAAATCGTGATTAATGTTATATTATTGATACATCAAAAATATGATGGACACGGATTCGACTACTCATCCAGAGAGTAATATCTTTGATATTTATTCTTATGACAATTCTTTCTTTGCTGTCTTGTTTCCGGTCCGACTACAGGCCAGATGATTTAGGAAGAAGGTCGTCCTCATCTTTATGCTTTTGTATATCTGGACTCTTATAAAAAGTATCGAAGACTTCAATCATAGTGAGAAATGTGAAGTACTTCGTTCTACAATTCGATATCATTTGGGATGAACGTATTCCAGCACATATGTTCATGATCATAGACGCAACGAATCACTGCACTGATGGTTTACCTGTCCACTTGAAATACGAATAGAATGCAAAACATTGCATGCTTATATGATGTCAACATTCCAGCAAAATCACTGATAAAAACTCAGAAAGATAAGCATCTTTTTTCAAGCATCGATGACATGTACTCATCACGAAATTCTGAAGATTGGCGCAAGGAGTCCATACCGAAAAGGCTTCTTCCAAATTCCATTCACTTATTGTCCCCCATTTTAAATAATCATATTAATCGCACTACATTCATCTCACATGTTACGTTTTTACATAAGTTTAATGTAAAATTTTGTTGTGAAATAGCCCATGCAATTTCACACGGCGTGAATAATGCTCGAATATGTTAATGATCATTCTTCTTACCTAAGAATTTGATTATTTTTTTCATTTGTCATCAAATTTCGTATCAGAATGAAGAATTTGAGTGAATCTTGAAAAATATACTCCGATCAGACAGGATTGCTCGGTTAAGTTCCACCTTCCTGGTGCCAGCAGTGCCATCCATACAACTGAGTAGAAAATTACTTGTTGCGCTGAACACCGGGAATGACGTAAACTCGTGAAATTTTTTATATATAGCTCATTAAAAGCTAATATACACATAATCTAATCTGAATAATGATTACAGGCTGAGAAAATCAATTCAAACCATTCTTCGTAGCTTTTCATTTTGGTCAGAAAAGTCCATCTAATTAATTGTATCTTGTGATTATTCCAGTACTAAACTCAACATACAACTGTGGACAGAAAAGAGCAAACTTTGATGATGATTTTGTTTCAAAGAAAAACGTAATGACATTCTTCCCTTACCCCTATCCCATCCGCTACTTTTCAGACTATCACTTATGTTATAATTCTGATAATTCCCTTACCCCTATCCCATCTGCTACTTTTCAGACTATCACTTATGTTATAGTTCTGATAACAACTATAATGTGTATTTCGATTTGTTGTATCAAACCGACAGTTGAACACAACATCATTTAAAAGTATGAATTATCTATTCGCTTGAAATATGAACTGTTTTTACTACTGTTTTTAGAGTAGATGAGATTGGTGGTCTGAAATAAAATAAGGCTGACCCGTGATACCAAAGTAAATGTGATATCCAAATTTTTTTTTCAATTATCCGGCCGGAAAAGACGGCAGTTTATTGAAAAAAAAATAAAAAAGACGTGGAACTTTTGTTATTCAAGAAATACGGTTATGACAGTGGCGTTCATTCATGTACATCTAGCGAGTGACAGAGATTTTGGTGAAAACGACGGTCCAAAAGTCTCAGTGAATGATTTGTATTATGTAATAAATTGTTCGCGGTCTCGACAATTGTCCCCTTTTACATATCACTTAACTCGAAATGGTGAAACGGGGGAGAAAGAACATTTTCCCTGTCCTGTAGAAAGATCCCCTGTAGAAAAGCATTTCTTCACGAGCCACATCAAATTTGCTACTTTTTCTCCTTAAATACAGATAAAGTGATAATTGAATCAAATCTAAATGGCTTGTTTATTTCCGAACTTTGCATGGAACTTTACAAGTATGGCTGTAGATGGCCTCAATTACTGACTAAGAGACTGGAGAGGCTTAAGCCTGAATTTATATTTGAATAGATTCCAGCTGATTTCCTTCTGTCCTGTTATCGATACATGATTGGTGTGATAGGAAGGGAACAACGGGCAAACATCATTCATCAGTTTCGCGGGTGGGATTTCTGCGTAATTGCCTTTGGGTACGGCCCTTCCCTTTACCCGGCCATCTCACAATGAGGATTACCACTACAGTGATGATTACGATGACAATAACCGGCTCATATCTTCCCACAAACAGAAAAGTAAACTGGCGGAAAGAGAGAGAGAGAGAAGGAGAGAGCAATACAAAGGGACAGTGCCGTAACATCGAACAAAATTTGTTCATCTCCAAAATTCTTTCAAAAATTTTATTTATACGCCAAATGAGAAAGGCATGAAGACATGAGAACAATTTCCACGAAATGCTCCCCGACAACTCCGCCTGAATCTCTGCTCCACGGCCTCCGTCTGTTTGGTGAATCTGAACTAAGGTAATAGTAGTATACTTCCGCAACCTTCTTGTTATGTCTCCGAATACTTATAAGTCTGTACTTGGTGATGGTGATCAGTACCGCTGTCTGTCTGCCTGCCCGTCTGTCAACCAAGTTATGCACCACTAGCAATCAACACGGTGTCATCTTCATCATCATCACCAACTACAACAACAGCAACAGTAGGAGGAAGGAGCGGTAATTGCTGCATCGCCACCCACAGAAGTATTGTTATCATGCGATTGTTGCTGATCGTTTGTGTCGGACTCATTATCCCATCACCTTATATTGCTTCCGCCCAGGAAACACCTGCGGAGCAAGCCCACGAAAACGCTGTTGAGGATACCAAATCATCATCGGTGTGCCATGCTAATGAAGTCTTCAATGGTAAAACATGCGAATGCGCCCCCGGGTAAGTTTCCACTCATATGCTGGAAAAATAAAGAAACTGAAATTATCGAAATAATGACTATATCAGGGCAGCGTAAGGGGGTGCATTGTGTGATATTAACCTGGACATATATCTGAGACGTTTAGGTTCCCTAATAAATTACCTGAATCATGTCATATGTTAGGTTATATTACATACAATATTTAAATCTGTGATTTGATCGTAATATCGTGATCTTATAGATAACTTATTGCTAAAGATCATTTATTTTATCTACTTGCTTTCATTCAAATCTTGTGATACTCAGTAAGAACCACCACATTTGGAGTATCGTAGAAAGGGAAGTTCAGCAGAACAAATAACAATTTCTGTAAATTTTGCATTTCTATCTCAACTAGCACGTAGGGGATAAAAGCTCATTTTTGAAATTATTCTCATTACTAAATTTTATGCTTAAATCATTATTAATGTTATTTTTGATGCTATCATTATTCGTCATTATT